AAAAAAAAAAGGTAATTAGTGGGAAAAAACATGACATTGCGTAAATTGCATATTAAATAAACTTTTTTTAAAATTGAGTGTCAGGACAAACTTTTTTATGTTTTATTTTTGGCTAAAAAACATCATTATATTTCTTGATGGGCGGATCCGATCAACGGTTACGATTGAATTTTGAAAAGATGGAAAAGAAGGGATAAGGAAGAAATACGGTTAAAATAGATTTTATTACTTAATTACGAGGTCGGCCTCTGATGATGAGCTCGGCACTTTTGTTACACTTGAAATAATTACGGAAATTTATTACATATTTTAGAGAAAGAAAGTAGTAGTTGATAATTCAACAACCCAAAATAAATGAAGTTGGTCTTCTATTTATAGTAGCCTTAAATTTGACAATATTCACCATGTCTTGTCGCACAGTGATCCTGCTGGGCAAGTCGGCGCTGCTCTGACAGTCATTAAATGCGATTGAGGTTCCTTCCATTATTACATGTCAGACATTTAATGCACACATAGGGAGCATTTAATGCTGGCAGGCCTTTATGTCGGGCTAGATGTCATAGGGTGGCAGGCTAGGGCGGTCTGTCCCATCGGCAATCATCAGCTGCCAAGTGGCATTATTATATCATATTTTCACACCGCGCTCGTCCAGGAGCCGGTCATACATGATCTTTAGGTCGGCTCTTCAACTTTTTCTCATCCCCCGATCTTCGGCGATCCACTCCTAAGTCCTAAGCTCGACAATCTACGAGGCCGGGCCCACCACCGTACGATTGAGGTGCCGGTTACGGGAATGACGTCATTTGGTGGCCCCTATTATCCTAACTTCTCATTCAGCTTGGCACTTCGCAATCACTTTCAATACCGATCCGAGTTTTGAAGTCGACCCTCTTCAGTTCGATCATGGCTAACTCGGATATCAACAATACTGCTTTAAAAAATATATATATATATTTTTAAACAGTTCCATTTCAATACATAAATATACTTTTTATTTTAAATGTGTCGTCTGTTTTTCATATAAATTATTTAGTTTATTTGTAATTTATCTTAAGTTTATTATATTTGTATAATTTATTAAAAACTAACTTGAAACTTTTAATTTTCTTAAGTATATTATCAATTTTTTTTACTAAATCACGGAAAATAATTTGACAAAA